CACACTCCTTTGCAGCCTGCCTAGTGTCCTGCACATCTTTGTGTCTTCCCACAGCGCTGGTCCAACACAGTGTTTTCACAGGGCTCTGCAAATATGTTCGTCCAAAGTATAGTTTTTCCTCTCTAGTATGATAATATTAGAATGTTAGGATAATATGAATTAAAAATATGCTAACACCAGAGAAAAATAGGAGCCCTGGTATAGCAACAGTTAAGAGCTTGGCGACTAACCAAAAGGTTGAAGGTTCAAACTCACCCAGCTGCTCCGCAGGAAGATGTGGCAATCTGCTCCCCTAAAGATTACAGCCTAAAAAACCCCGTGGGCATCTAACAACAAGACAGGAAAATACATTGGAAATGGCCTCTCATACTTCGCTTTTAATCCTGTAAGAAGGATCAGTTTAAATTTAATAACCACCTAGAGCAATGTTTTTCATACTGCGGGTCATGATCCACTAATGCTTTTTTTTTAGTAAATTATTTTCTGTATTATTTTGTGTCTAGCTTGTTTGAACATAAATGTGAGACTCATCAGTGTTGTGCTTATGTTTAATTCATTCTTTTTTTGTTGTTGCAGAGTGGTATTCCATTGTAATACTATGTTGCAATTTATCCATTCTCTTGCTTCTTAATGCTCTTTTTTAAAAAATAGAACGGAAGAGAGCAAGCAATGGTTTGTGAAATGCAGAGTGGTCACAATGTAAATTGTGTTGTACCAAAGTCAGGGGCATAGTTTAAGGCCACTAATCTGGACATCGGGAGCCCTGGTGCCACAGTGGTTAAGAGCTCTGTTGCTACCCAAAAGGTCAGCAGTTTGAATCCACCAAATACTTCTTGGAAACTCTGTGGGGCAGTTCTGCTTTGTCCTATGGGGTTGCTATGAGTTGGAATCAACTCGACAGCAATGGGTTTGGTTTTTGGTAATCCAGACATCAAGGAACCCCAGTGGCACAGTGGTTAAGCTGCTGACAGAAAGGTCAGCGATTTAAATTCACCAGTCTCTCCGTGAGAGAAAGGTGTGACAGTCTGCTTCCATAAAGATTACAGCCTTGGAAACACTACAGACAGTTCTACTCTGTTCTATAGGGTCGCTATGAGTCACATTCGACTCCATGGCAAAGGGTTAACCTAGACATCTGAGAAAAATGCAGTTTTATCTGTTTCCTCACTGAGTATATCTTTTCCTACTAAGGACTCTCCAGTACCCTGAACTGATTAGTGAAGATTAGAATTTCAGTATTTCTTCATCTTTTATTATTCACCCTCACTAGCAGTTGTTTTATGATTTTAAACCTCCAGATATTAAAAACCAGTTGCCATTACTCTGACTCATGGCAACCCCATGTGTGTCAGAGTGGAACTGTGTTCCACAAGGTTTTCAATGGCTGGTTTTTTCAGAAGTAGATAGCCAAGCCTTTCTTCCAAGGTACCTTTGGGTAGACTAGAACTTCCAACATTCTGGTTACCAGCTGAGCATGTTAAGCATTTGCACCACCCATAGACCTCCTCCAAGTATTAAATATGTAGCTAATTTGGGGGTAAAGCATACATAATGAGTTTTAAAATAATTTTTGAGAGCTGTTAATGGTCACATTGGTTAGATCCTCAATAGAATTTGGAAATTCTATTTGGAAATACTAAGGGGCTAAAGTCACTGACCTCCCACCCTCTCCAGCTCTCAGAACGTGGGTTTTAAGTGTCCCCCATTTCTTCTATATCCCCAACCAGAATATACACTGGAGAAGTTTCTTAATAGACCACTGCCAAAAAAGATGACAATTGGTCTAAAATTGAGAGCTTGTTAGATCTGTCACTGAATTTGATTTGTGGACCAAGCCTACTGTACAAGCCAGAAAGTGGAGTTGTAAAAATCCGAGACATCATCACCTCCTGGGCCAGCAATTGCTCCCTGGCATCTCTGAGTGAGAAGTCCAGCAGTAAAGTAGACCCATGTGGGAGTGAGCACTTTATGGTATTGCTGTGCCGGAAGCAAGCTATTCCTCTTTAAAAATACCTTGTAAGAGAAACCTTCAGTCCAGAAACAAAACAGAAATGTTGCAATAGATCTTAGATGTCATTTATATCCAGTGGTAACTTGATATAGAAAGTTTATGAACTATTTTTTGAACAGCTTCATTTATGTTTACAAATATGGCAGTTTTGGAAGGATAACTACATTGCAACCGTTGCGTATTTGTTTGTGCAAATTTATTATGGATGTTTTTAAGAATCTTAAAATATGAACCCAAAACATGAAGAGCTATGTGATACTATAAATTTCATGATACCAAGAGTGATTGAATGTCAGAATCTGTTCTCATCATACTAATTGTGATATTTATTTCTTTGTGACTTATTTGAACATTTTAAATAAGCTTCGGTCCTACTGAAGTAAGCGCGGAAGCAGATCAACTCTAACGCAAAACAAAGTCATAAAATAATGATGCTGGGCCTTAAGAAGCCACAAGTAAAACGTGCATTCATTCCAATTTCCTGGAATCATGTAAGGATACAATATAAAGGGATTGTCTAAGCAAGCACGCTGATCATTCATTCTTCAAATTTTGAGCACCTACCGTGTGGGAAGCTGTCTCCTCAAACACCACCAGCACAACCTGTCGCTAAGACAAATCCGCGTTTATTGCCGGCCGCAGTCAGAACAACGGCCTCGCAGTGGCTCGCGGAGCGGGGAAGGCGAGGCCAGAATTTATGGAGAATTGGATGTCTGATTTCAGGCGAGTCTTTCTAAGCGGGAGCTTGATTAGGGTTGATAAAGCTTGGTGGGGACAGAAATGGATAGGCTTTGAGCCGAGGGGTTCAAGGATCTTGGACGTACACTGTTTTCCATTGAAGAGCTCGTAGGTCTTCCGGGAAGTTCCCGTAGTGAACCATCAAACATTTGCCCAGGCAGAAGACTCCTAAAGAATAAAGCCAGCGACCCCAGGCGCTGGTCCGACACCAGAGGCCGGGATGCCGCAGTGCGAAGAGCACACAGAACCCTCCAGGGTGGCGTGGTGTTGTCGAGACCAGCGGGAGGTCCGCCCGGCCGAGCGCGCTGCAGCTCGAGAGTTCGTTGTCCGGGCCACGTCGGCGCTCGCTGGAGGCGTGCAGTTTTGCGCCGGGTCCGCGCAGCGCGCCCCTTCCCACCATTCCATCGCCGGGGGCACGGCGACCCGCCGACCTACGTCGGAGCCTTAGTAGAGGCCTCTTTGCGACTCCAGGCTGCGAGCCGGGAAACTGCGGAATTGGGGTGCGCGGCCAGCTTACTAGCGTGAAAGCGACCGCTCACGTGACCCCCGGAACCGCCCCGTCCCGCGCCATGGAGACCCGCAATGCCGCCTTGGCTGTCTCTTGCGCAGGCGCAGGCCTGGGCCCACAGCGCGTGATGCAATCCCGCGCTGCGGCTCGTCGCGCGGCCCTAGCGTACGACGGATCACGTAACGCCCCTGGAGCCCCCTCCGCAGCCGGACGTGCGCGCGCAGCCCTCCCCCTCCCCGCGGAGGGGGCGAGGCCGTCAGGGGGAGGGTGGTGGTCGCGGCGGCCAATGGGTTGCGCTCG